CAGAAAAAAATGAACTTATGATTTATGGTTTTGATGATTAGACAGGATAGATTATAGAAAGGAGAAAATGATGTTATAACCATAGAGCAAGAGGTACATTTATGACTGTGTAATAACTGCTACGAAGATCGGAAGCTACTTCTTTATATATTTTTTCTTTCTTTTCCATTTTTCTTTTACCTTTTCTTCCTTTCTTGCACTTTTAGCTTTCTCTTCAATTTCTTTTTTTAGGTCATATTTGTTTTTATCTTCATTTTTTAAAAAATCTTTAATAATTAAAAAAAGAAGGGAAATAGTTGGGAAGATGCCGTAGCCCAAGGGAAGAACCTCCTTTTCTGGAGGTGTCGATGGCAGCCCAGCTTCTTGTCCCCCTAGCTTTTCCTGGCGAAGTCTCTTTTCCAAACCTGCTGCAGGAGAAACAGAGAGCCCCACATGGGAGTCATCAGTGGAATGACCAAGGCGGGGTTGCAAAAATTCAAATGGTTTTTAGGCAGCAACAAAGAGAGGTTTCTTTGAGACCCCCTAGCAACCATCTGCCCTACACAACACAACTAGGGAAGGCTGGGAAGTTTGTGAGGCTGAGAGGTTTGTGATTCAGGAGGCATGAACTGGACCACCAGACTGAGCCATCTTGTTTGGAGAAGACACACTGTGGTTGGTTAAGTTGGGTGTGGCCTTGGAGTGGTTCTGTGCTCAGGTCTTCCGCTGCGCTGGAGAGGCTGTGTGAACTCTCCGGAGGTCCAGAAGTAAGTTTACGGCCCCTAGCCAATGCTGACTTGGTGTTCAGATCCTGAAAGATACATGGAAATGAAATCCATGTCTTGGCAGCCATGTCTGCATTTCAAGTGAAAACACGGGCAGATGATTCGAGAACCATTCCCCCACTCTTGGGGGAGTCACACACCGGGTGGGGAAAATACAAACGTAGATCATCCCCTGGATCTGCATCTAAGAGTAAAGGATGTGTATGGCCTCTGGTATACTTTGGTCCCATTTGAGCTACAATTTGTGATCCTGGCTGAGCCTTCTAAAGAGAGGACCTAAAATCTGTTCTCAGATGAGATCTGCGAGTGCAGCCAGCGTCCCCCGAGGAAAGGGGCTGATACTGTTTCTATCGATGGTGCCAACTGGAAAAATTGAAGTGTTTTTCGATGGCTGCCCCTGTGTGTGTGTGTGTGTCTGGTTTTGTTTTATTTTGTTTAAAAAAAAACTTGTTCGGGCAGAAAGCAGGCATTCCTCCGTGTGCATGAACGTGAGATTTTTGACATACAACCTGGTGGCTTTTAAGCTTCTAATTTTCCTTCTCTTGGCATCCACCATTAGATGTTTGCTGCCAGGAAGTTGGGCCTGATGGTCCCCAAGGGCTGCTTGCAAACACGGCGTGCCTCCTTCCTCCCTCTGTGTGTGTGTGTTGGGGGGGGGGGGGGTTCTCTTCTTTCTCAGCTGCAGCAGCCAACCTGTGCTTGCCTCAGCTCTTCCCCGGGAACAAGACGTGTGATGCCTCCAGGACCTGGCCTGGTTTAACCTTTCTACAGTTTCCTGCGTCTTAGACTAACTGCAAGTTGCAAGGACTAACAGCCGAAGCACGCTGGCACACGCTTGAAGTTCTCAGGGGCCATTCCCAGCGGATTGCAGAGGGAGCTACCAGATTGGAAAGAAGGGAGGGATGGAGGAAGAGCAACCAGAAGATTGGGGAGGGGGTGGTCTCAGCACCCAGTGTCCCTCCCAAAATTCTTTGTTGACTTTCCCAAGGCCGAGGGAGCAATCCGGCCCCTTCTGGGTTCATCTTCTGAAGATCGCATAGACATTTAGAACTTCACCTTGTTTCTTCCTCCTTCTAAAGACTTTTCAATGAGCTTAAGAGATCCTTGGCAGCTTCCAGAAGCTTTCTGTGGCTCATAAATTCACCCAGTTCCTTTCTTTGTTTTCAGATGAGGGTTTTTCCCCCCCAGTTGCCCACATCTCCAGAAAGTGGATTTGTGACTCCCAATTCCTGACTTTATAACCGATCCTTGGTTGTTGTGGATTTGAAAGTGCACCAGAAGCATCTTCCAAGGGTTTAAGCTTTAGGAGGTGGTGGTTTGGTCCCATCATAAGGTCTAGAAACATGGAAGTTGGCTTACATAGGAATGAAATTCAGCTACCAGGTCAGATTTAATTCTGAGCTCCGTTGGAGGGATTTTTTAAAAAATTTACCAACTGTGAAGCAGGTCTCTTTTGAAAGCACTTAGTAATTCGGCCTATTAATTTCCCCGTGAGCTTTTTTTCCCATTATTGTTCCGCATCTCAGCACAATGGAGAGGTTTTCAGTCTGCTTTTACCTTTATTTGTAAGGTTGGCAGGTTGTGTTTCTAATTAACTGCTATTTTCTGCTGAAAAAAAGCAGTGGCTACCACCTGCCGATTGCTACCTTAGAAATCAAATTTGTTTTTTTGTTTTTTTACAGCTGAGCCCTTTTTCCAGCCAAAATGGAATTTAGCTTGACCCCTTTTCTTTTGAGAACTCACTAGAGTTTGCCTGGCCATTCAAGACGCTGTTTTTTTTATTTATTTACTTTGGAAAAGAGCAGAGGAGAACGCTGTGATGCTGTTGCTCCTGTTTTATGCAGATGTTTTAAATCCAGGAGGCCAAAATACCAGGTTGGTTTCTTCTATAACAAACAGATGTTGCTCTCCTGCCAAGGGGAACGGTAGTAATATTGTGCTTGTGTGCATCCCCTTTGACTTAGTTCCCGAATCAGCATTTTCATGCAGTATATTGAACCAAAAACTACACCCTGCAATCTATGGAGAAAAAAACAAAAGAAGCTTTGTGTGTGGTGCGAATGAAGCTGCAAGGGTTGGAACTGGCCGGGCTAAACTGGTCCTGTGAATACAGCCAAGAGCTTTGTGAACCAAATCAGAGTTTATCAGGGACCCCCAAAACTTTGGAGCAGACTCAGGTTTAATGAGAGAGGGGTTTGTAAGGCCCAGGAGAAGCTGGGGGTCCAGAAGCTCCCCCGTGAAGCTGGTTTATTGGGAATTCGAAAAGCCAGGGCAATCTGTAACGTGGCTTACTTGCATGAGTCGTCTGTTTATCCACAGGGCTGAGCAGGGTGGGAATAAGAGGTCCTACCTTCAGCTGTATGTGGTTTATTTTATTTTATTTTTATTTATTTTATTTTATGGGATTTCTCCGCCGCCCATCTCCCCCACAATAGGGGACTCTGGGCGACTTACAAAAAACATGAAAACTATAAATACATCTAAAAGACATAAAACATCCAAAATTTAAAACAGTACTAGAGAAAGGAAGATCCAAGCAGATGGTTGCAAAGAAGGCCCTTCTCCCATCCTCGTTCTAGGAATATCTGTCTTGCAAATGTTGCTCTTGGCTTTCTATTCTCTTACTTCATTTTCCTTAGAAATGTCTAAGGGTGTTGAAATATCGCTGCCCCACTTCCACAGAAAGTCTTCCCTCAAATGCCAGGAATGCCTGTTAAACTAATCTACGTCTGCCGCGAATTTTCTCAGAATAGTCCTCTGCGACTCAATGGAAGAAGGAAAGGACTTCACAGACCCTCGGTTCGGCTCCCCGCCTGGGCTCCAAACGCTACGTGGGCTTCTCTTCCGACGCTAGCGTTTCCAAAAAGCCCCCGCGTCTTCTCTTGAGGCTGGTGTTTCCTTGTTCCTTATTGAGTGACTGCCGTGACGTGGTGCAGTTACGCCAAACCTGTGCCAGATTTAAGCTTCTGCAGCTGTTTAAATTCCTGAGCCCCAAACGGCATCTGCATGCTGTGGTTTACTTTGCGGCAGCTTCTTCCCATAGCGGTTGA